ACGCCAACACAAATCTGTGTCAACCACTCGAAAAGCCGAGAGGCTCGAAGAACGCTGCGGTACCTAGACACACACTCAGACCAAATTCATTCGTACAGCAACAAAAAAAAATAAAAAAAATCGCTGTGACGCCAACACAAATCTGTGTCAACCTTGCGATGTGAAAACACAACAACAGTTGTCGCCACATAGGTCCAACACTTTCCCTATTTTGTCTGTGTTCTGTATGATACCTTCAACTACAAAAACTTTGTCCCATTGGATGTACCTATTGGAAGTCAGAGGACCCATAGTACCTGCCTAACCTGAAAGGGACCTAGTAATAGGAAAGCACTGACAATCTCATCAGTAATCGGGAAGGGGTCTATGCATCTGCACAACGCAGATTTCATTCTACGACATAGAGACAACGTCGGGACCATTGGTGTGCCCACCACACCCAGATTCTCTTATAGATTCAACACATCCCCACCATAAGTGTGTTGTGTTGCTGTCTCGTCAGATTTTTTTACATCTACAGCAGAGGGTGTGGACTTGCATTCTATTATTAGCTAGCCATTTGGCTGTGGGAATAATCCGATGATGAGATTGAAGCCGAGCCAGGTTCCCAAACTTGGCTGATGATGGAATCCTTCTCAGATCATTCCACAGTCTTCTTAGTGAGACAGATGAGACTTTGTTGCTCCTTACTGATCTTTCTCTGACTTCCATGTCCTACCTGTGACTGAGTTCCAAAGGTAGGGACCTGGTTTTCGCTTGGGTCCGGTGACCCACTTTCGGGATACAATCCAGTAGTGGGACCTGCTGTGAAGGTTCCAAGGGCTGCCACCCCCAGTGGAAGTGTAGTGTGCTAAGTTTGTGTACTGGTTCTATCCCAACTGGACAAGACAGTTTGTGCTGACCTTTGCCCTTTTCCTGAGTACGGACTAGGATAGAACACAAATGGTTTTCTCAAGATTTCTGAAATTGAGATGTTGGCGAAATTTCATGAAAATGCACTTTTGCCTTGGTGTTTTATATGTTTTTTATTATTTTTTTGGGGATTTTCTTTTGCAATTAGTTAGTATGGTCTCCACTCTACGAATTGGTGGCATGTTTGATTAAAATGACACTTCGGTTTTCATATAAATGGCATGGCAAGTGGTCTGAAAATTAGGGTCTCCGTTAACCTTCTCTCGGATAGAAGAGACCTTCTTCAACTCAATCAAACCGTCCTCCTCCTTTTCCCGAGGGTAATCATTGGCTCTTCATGACTCTCTATGACTGCGTACGAAGTGCAATGGCCTCATTCTTTCTCGCTAATACAACATGTCTGGACCTTCCAGATTTCCGGGGTCCCATTCTCATTCTCCTTTCTTATCCACTTGTCCTCATATGCTGGAAGGGGATCCAAAAGAGTCTCTTTCCAGTGATTGATGAGGGATACTCTCGAGTACTGCAGCAGCGACCCTTTCAGTGACCGATCGCAGATGGTGGAGTTTAATTTTGAGCTCCATGGGAGACCGCCACTGGGGCAAATCCGAATTCCACAAATCTGAGATCCCCGCACCCCCTCTTTGCCGAATTCCACAAATCTGAGATGCCCACAACCCCTCTTTGCCGAATTCCACAAATCTGAGATCCCCGCAACCCCTCTTTGTATCCATGCGTGACCCCGCAACCCCTCTTTGTATCCATGCGTGACCGAAGAAGTGCCCCGGGGAGTGTTCAGCAGACCAGGGCATGCCATTTCCATCTGTCAAAAATATGTTGGGCCACGCGTGAGTGCGTTTCATGATGTAATATTTTTGTCTGACTTGCCGGTGGAAAAGGAACCGGACTGATGCTCCCCAGAATGGAAATGGAGCCAGGGCCATAAGGACCTGTTTAAAAAAAAAAAAAAAAA